GTTAGCGTACAGTTTTTTTTTTTGATATTTTTATTGTTATCTTTTTTTAAAACGCATTTACAGTCCACGTCGGTGAAGTTGGATCCGCTGGAAACGAATTTCATAACTCACGGATAAACAAAAAAATACACTCGCACTGCTATATGGAGCGGACTCACGTGGTGAGACTTTCTAGGAGTTCAAACTTTGTGGTCGAAATAAAATTTCACGAAACAATTAAGCGTTCGGTGCTTAACTGAAAATTTCTCTTAGCTTTACATCGAGCGCGTAGCTCTTTGAAAAGTTATAAAACTGTAACCGTGTAGAGATTTGAAATGAATAAGTTTCTAGCGATTTTTCATGAATGCGTTAGCCGAGGCGCATAGCGGACAAGCAATGTTGTTGTTTAATCATAGACCTGAGTTCGATTCCTGACAAATTTTCGTTGTATAACTAATGTTTAATGTTAAGTACTAAAGGAAAATCATTGGATCATTGAATCAGCGTCAGTTCACAGTTTTTTTTGTATTAAGAATTTGTGTCCATAATTATGGCCATATCTACCAGAATATTTGCTGGTGGAATGTTCTTCAACATCGATTGAATAAATAACATCTTGCTCTTTTAACAAATTAAAAACCAAAACGCTCATGACAGTATTTTCATTCAAAATCTATTTTCAAATAACGTGTTTTTTTTTTTAAATTTCGGCTTTCATAAATAATATACACGAAACTCTTTTAGGGAATATTGAAAAAAAAAAAAAACAAAAAGAAATTAATCCCACCGTAACCGGTTCGATACCTTTACCGCACCACTATCTTCCGACTCTTTGAAAGGGGCACTAGAGCGAAATGGACTCTATTTCAATAAGCAATAGGGTATGCTTTCGAACGCGCGCGCCGAGTGAAACCAACGCTTTCCAATCACGTATGATCAACCTTTCAAAAACACTGACGAAGTCTATACGGGCCGTTGCTCGGAAAATGTTTATACACCGTTGCGGGGGCTGAGGAAATCATTTTCTACGTGAGCGGTGCCGGCAGCGAGGCCGTAGGAAGTTTGTTTGAAGTATTTTCGATTGCGATTCGTTTTTCCCTTTTTTTTTTGCTAACGCTACCCCCGCGGGGTACTGAAGTGGCGGTTTGCTTTTGATGACCTAGAAGAACAGTCGCATTAAAATATGTAGAAAAAGTACGAAAAGATTGTCACCACTGTGGGAATCAAACCCATGTTTTCGGCATTCGCGGCCTGACCCTTTAAACACTAAGCGAAACGGCTGATTGCCACACCGACGAAAATCTTACTTTTTCTTCAATCTTTTCGTACTTATTTTACATATTTTAATGTTCAATCTTAATTGCGAAGATTAGCACTATAAACAATTTAAATTTCTAGACCAGTCGCATGTTTCACGCCATTAGAAATTTTTAGAGGGAAAAATGCTCTCTGATTAATTGCAACATTTGGGTGGCAATCGTGCGACATCTGCGTTGTACATTTAGGCAGGGCCATGCAGCAGATAATGTGTTGCATGAATGTTTGGGCTCGTCGGGAGAAGTACACTTCGATGTTTGACTGGAGAGGTAACTGGGGCCAATATTTAATTGGTGGCAACGTCTTCAACTCCTCGTGTATTGAAGACATCCATGGGCGGTGGCACTTACTTCAGACCAGTTGAACCGCCTGCTCGCTTGCCAACTGTTTACAGTAAAAAAAGTGTAGTTTTATGAAGCCGCGGCGCAAGTGAAACTTTTTCAGTTAAATGTAAATTGGTCGAAAAAATTTCAGGCGACGGAAAAAAGTTTCAGTTTTGAAAGCTCGTGAATATCATTTCTGTGTTTCGATATGAACTGAGAGCTATCTCGATAGACTCGAGCTGCGAGTAAATTGATTTCGAGTTAAGCCGCAGCCTAACACGTGTACCGACATCGCAGCCGGCGGAGTTCGACAAAAACGGGTTAATGATGTTGCAAACAACGCCCTAATTAGCGGGATGTAGGCGTAAGCACGCGCGCGTGTTAATCTTTGCACTGACTCGATAGATAGCTTGGATATCTTTAGGGTAAATAGGACATGCTGCCACGTTTCCATGTCCCCACGTGAATACGTGGCAGTGGAAACGTTTCACAGTTATTCGAATGAAAGGAATATTAATATATTCTCTCCTTCGCATGGTGACAATTCGTTGAAAATGTCGCATTAATGCATTGTATTACAAATATCTTAAGCGTATAAAAAATATTTTATCTTAATAATGATATCCTCGTCTTTCAGTATGATGCAAATTCGTCGAAAATGCCGCATTTTTGATGTGATGTATTACAACGATCCTAAGCTCGGTAAAAAGTATTTAATGCTGCTAACTATTATATATAACACTAGCCGCTGCCCGCGACTACGTCTGCGTAGAAAAGGCTGAAGGCGTAACATTCAGACAGAAAGACAGATATCTTATAAAGGAATAAATATAAGGAATCTCGGAGACGGCTCCAGCGGATTCGGGGGCGAAAAATCGATCTATCTAGGTTTCATTTTTAGAAAATGTCCTTTTATCCCTGTTTTCAGGGAATGAAAAATATCATTCGAATATGACAGTAAATATCGTCGCAAAAAATGTTATAGTAGCTCGGTTGGTAATCGGGTGGCCCCAAAACAGACTGCCGCGGTTCGTATCAAGATCATTTACACACCTATTTTTTTACTTTTTTTTTCTATACCGTATAATTTTCTTTATATTTTATTTTTTTTAATTCCAAAACATAAGGTTTACAAAAAAAACCGAACTAAGTTCCTCGGTCCTCGGTCCTTCAGGTATTACATAAAAATATGTATATAAATTATAGCCTATGTTTTATTCTGATGTATAAGCTATATTATTGTAAAGTTTCATTAAAATCTATACAGTGGTATTTGCTTGAAAGAGTAACAAACATCCATCCATACATACAAACTTTCGCGTTTATAATATTAGTAACGATTACGACATCCCGATGCACTGTATCCTCCTAAGAGCGGTATGACATGTGAAAATTTCAGTCTGTTTCATCAAAGTTCTATTGATACTCATAACAGATTGTAAGGTCAAGTACCTGCACTTTTGTTTTTTTTTTTAAATTACCTTTAATTTAGGATTACAATATCCCGTGTTGTAAGGACGTTTTACCAACACAAATTTGACGCGGTCAAAACTTATATTCGAACCCACGATCCGCGGCGCCGAAGCCAATACCTTGGCGGCTGCACCACAGGGTATCGGTTCGGGGATTATGAAATTACACATATTCCGTCTGCGTCTAAATCTTTTCTTCTCTCTCTCTCTCTCTCTTATCTGACTGTGCTACGGCCGGGCCGAGATGTGCTGCTACGATTTCGGAGCACGTCCTGTGGGTTGGCGCGTATGATGCATTGTTAACGCGATCCGTCCTACTGTGCCGCCGTATAACCAGCGAGCGCGAACATTCACGAACTGCGTTCCGCTTATTTATTACGTTGACGTGTACAGTCAAAAAAAGTAAACGCGAACAGTTTTGGCATGAAAAGTTAAGTGCAGTTAATGTCCGTAGCATGCTTTTTTCTTTGTCTCATGAAAAAATTATATGAAATATAACAAAAGTAGCAGTAGCAAGAATTAATACGAGTGATTATAGATCACTAATAAATAAGATATAACCGGAGTTACACGCATGTATTGACAGTAAATCTTTGGTGAATCCGTGGCGCAGTGGCCAAGGTGCCTTCGGCGTCGGGGGTCGTGGGTTCGATTCCCACACGGGACAACTATTTGTGCGACCCACAGATATTTGTTTCGCATCTGGGTGTTCGTCCACGTGAAATTTATGTTTGTCAAACGTCTATACTACACAGGATAGTGTTATCCTAAAGTAAGGGCAATGTTTTTAAAAGAAGAAAAAATGTAATGTAATACATTGAAATAATATTATCTTTTTTCTATTAAAACCTTTTAAACGCTATGCAAACTTATGATTATTGTAGTTATTTATTATTATATATAGTTTACACCGAACATAATACTAGAATATACTGATGATGGTGACTAGTTAGATCTAAGTGGAGTTGTTTATTATTTTTCTATATATAATGTTTTAGATCCTTCTAAAACATTATATATAGAAAAATAATTCACCGTTTATTCCTATAAAGGTGAATGCCGCTTCTGACATGAAAAACGACTTCAGAAGTTCATCCTATTCAATCTACTATAACTATATATCCCAACCTTAAGTAAAATAAAGTTAAAGCATAGAGAAAATTGAAGACACTTATTTGTTCAATTAGAAAATTAATACAGATATTATTGGCTTTGTTATCTTAATGGCCAAAATTAGTAAATCTGAGTCTGATTCAAGTCGCAAAGTAGAGTTAAAGTAAAAACTGGTAAATCAGGGTACCCGAAATGAGTTTTGAATTAAAGTCGGTGTAATTTTACGAATAGTACTGTACACTGACGCGAAAGCCTGGGCGCGAAGCCAGAAGACGCAGGTTGGAATCCCGCAGGGCCGAAAGTTTTGTTCATTTATCCTACTACCCGGTACCTGTAACTAGCGACTCACCCTGACTTCACACGGGTGCAATTATTATACCTACCCGGTACCCGGTAGTAGCGATCCACCTGGCACGGGTGTACCATGTGTATACATATAAAACTTCCTCTTGAATCACTATCTAGTAAAAAAAAAAAACGCATCAAGTTCCGTTCCGTAGTTTTAAATGGTATAACAATAGAAGCGCCAAGTATTGCTTCAAATGCTACAAACAATGTAGATAAAGGACGGTAAGATTTTCGTCGGTGTAGCAATCAGCCGTTTAGCTTAGTGGCTAAAGCGTCAGGCCGCGAATGCCGAAGACGTGGGTTCGCTTTCCACAGCGGCGACAATCTTTTCGTACTTTTTCTACAAATTGTAATTTTTACACAAGCTTTAATTTTAATCTAAGCCTACAAAGGGACAGACAGACAGCAGGACGACTTTGTTTTATACTATTTAGTGGTAACTACTCACACAGAACGTTGATGGTGTGGGTAGACACGACGTTCTCCGTGAGTTGCGCGTTGATGCCGTGGCAGACGACAACTATCGACCGCTTATTCGGCTCCACCACGACGGTGATGTTGGACGTTGTTATCCATCCACCTGATGATAAGAACAATAAGATAGGCTGCAAGGTCCACATGACGTTAGACCATTTTACATAATTTATCCTACCTTCCTGGGTTTGATTCTGGATTTTAACTGTGGTAGGGTCCTAATACTAGTAGTAGTACTAGGGGTAGTCTTTGCTGTAACACGAATGGGCAAGCTTGACCGGTGAAGGATCAAGACCGCACAGAAGACTGGCGTGCAGTGGAAGTGTTATATGTTCGTCTTATCTGTCGAGTGAGGTAACTGAACTGCACTTTACTAAAATGACAACACATCTGCAACCCTACGGTGTTGCACATACCTTGGGCGGCGGTTATTACTTACCAACAGTTGAACCGTCAGCTCTCCCTGCCATCTTCTCGCGTAAAAAAAAGCTTTAAGCTTAGATCTTCATCTTAGTGTAGACATTCCGCTATATGTATGAAGGAGACTGGTTTAGTATAGTCATCTAGGTTAAATGTTCCAGTTAATTTAGATTCTAATAGTTTCCTTTAACATTTGCTTTTATATCTCATCTTTAGTATTACGTGCAGCGAAGGATAGATAACGTTACTTGCATTCGTCTTTCTGTCTATCTAGAACATGAGTCCACACAGAGGAGCATTGTATTTGTATTAGTCTGGTGGCTTGTTAATGAAAATAATAGGGGTCCCAGGATAAGACTGTCAATTCTCACTCTGAAAGGGACTCACTCTCTCTCATTCGGAAAATAAATCACTTACCCTCCGGAGATATGACAGTTCTGTTGCTGGCTTCTTTATGATGCTTGCCAAGTACTACCCATTTGACGTCGGCGGCGGGATTGGAGGGGGCGGTGCTGCAACTCAGGGGTACGGGGTCCCCGACTCTGGCCTCCGAGGGACCAGATATAGTCACGTGTGCCGGAGCAACTGTAAAAGCGGAATAATATGAGCTAACGATTTCCTTAAGAGGCCATTGATCTATCAAAGAATCATGTATGAACAGCAAGCACCAGAGATTGTCGAGCCATAACGTCATATCAACGATCGAAGAGAAATTGTTGTTGTGAATCATGTAGTAGGCTATAGAAGAGGAACGCAGTTACGTCTGCAGTACCAATATTGATATTTTATTATTATTCTTCTAATATTACTTCAATGTTACAGACATACTTTATTATCTTTAGTATGCTTTTTGAATGAGATAATTATATTTTATTAAAATTATAGATAACGATTTAATGTGAAATATAATTTCATATTAATTCGTTTTTTTTAAGATCCTCCGCTGCGCAACCCGTAGTGTCTGGGTGTTTATATATGTATAATATGTATTTATTTACAAAAGAAATGTTTAAATTATGTTTAAGTATGTTTATCAGATATCTAGTACCCATAGTACAAGCGTTGCTTATTTTGGGACTAGAGAACGTTGATTTGTTAGGACGTCAGTTGACGAATTGATTTGTTAGGACGTCAGTTGACTGTAAAAGCAGTAAGTTAAACCGTAATCGTAAAGTTAATCAACACGTCGTTAGGAAACAATTCTTAACTGTCCTCAAATTGAGCACAGATCCTACCATTTATGGAGTATTTTAATAATTCAAATCCAACATAAAGCGTTGGCTAAAACGCTCAGAGTAAAAAGAGAATCGTTAGAAGCAATCTCGCTGGGTAAACTTTTCTTTAAAACATTACTCAGAAGTTCTCGGGCGCCAATGCTAACTGAAGATATTTAAAGTTACAGCATTACTTCGATAGCTTGGAATTGTTCAATGGCTTTGTTTGAAAATTACTTCTCGATTTTGATTAGCTAATACACTTTAAAGTTAAACATTTATCGGAATTGATTTTTGTAGGTAAGCTAAGATGGCGTAGGGCCGGACAAATAGCTTGTGGAACCGATAACCGATGCCCAGAAAGGTTCTCATGTGGCAGCATTGTAATGGGCATCGCAGTGTATTACCTAGTTTTCTACAGGTAATAATGTTCTCAAATGCAGAAATTAACAAATTATTTTATTCAATCGTAAACAAAGATTCTCATGTTGCAAATAAAATCGACGACGAATATTGCATTCGATAAACAAATACAATACTCTAAACATCAAAATTTGTAGAAAACAAAGTTTAAAATTTTTCATAGGTCTTTAGGGTTCGCGCGCTGACGCTTTAGCCACTAAGCTAAACGACTGATTGCCACATGTCTGATCTTAAGTGCAGAGATTGGCACTATAAAAACTAAAATTCCTAAAAATACAATACTCGTTGAATTCTATGGGGTTTTATAATTCCATATTCCCAACGTACTACGGACACTAGCGATATCTCAGCGTCGAAACTTTCACGTTAAATAGATCCGCATGCAGATTGGAGACAGTTCTAAACGGTTTTCATTGTAGGTGAACTTTGGAGGGCGGGCTCTTTAACGAAATAGCGGGACGTAAATTTGCGGTGATATATATTGGGCAAGTTCCGCGCGAAAGTTTGGACGTGTCGCTTGAAAAATAGGCGCGTTCGGGATCGAAAAGATCACTGTAGGGGTACCAGTCGATTGGCTATGCCCACTATGCCACCCCCGCTTACTCGTGGAAACTTAAATAATATTATTAGTCTATGTAGAAATTATACCTGAATTTATTGCACTGTTTTTCGCTGTTTTATTAACTGTTATTTCCAATTTTTTTTTTTTACATTTATGAACTTTCGTTGTAATCTTGGATTTTGTAGCAAAAAAACTTATTTTAAATGTATTTTTTTCGCCCGTTATATTGCATATTCTCAGCGCCTTCAATTGTAATGACACTAACGAACAGCTTGGTGTATATTTAATTTCCTTAGTGTTAAATAGTGTTGTACATTATGTTGGCGTTCTTTAAATAAATAAAAATAATACATAAATAAATAAACACATAAACAAATAAACAATTAAAAAATAAATTTGGTTGGATTCGCTTTTCAAACGTGGCCCGTACGGTCCCACCCACCGTCACCCGTGCGAGTTGCGGGGCCAATATCGGACGCTTTCGCGGACAAATATTGTTGTAAGGTTTCACGGATTGTGGACTATAATGGATTTCTTAGGGCACTCGGACGCACCGACCACTCAGTTATGCCGGGAATTGATATTTGCCCCGTCTCTGCTGGAAATTCGAAATTCAAACCGGATATAAATGGACTGGGCACTGTGCGACATTCATTCTTTGTTGAACACAAAAATAAATAGAAAACAAAGCTAAGGTTTTAAAATAAACTTACAAAGGCGAGTCTAACCCTAAAAAGAGTTCTCAACCACCAAATCCCTTACATATGATCACAGACAACCAATGATAGGTTCATCTGAACATTTACGAGGATAAATTTATGATTGTACGGGGTAGACAGACGTATACAGCGTGTCGTTACCATCGCGACAATAAATGAACACACGTCTGACGCTACTTGCCAATAATCATAAAAAAATATTAACGTTAAACAAAATCCATAATTAAAAAAAAAATATTTTTCAAACAAACTAATTAAGTAAAAAAGAAACAAAATTTGTAACATCCTATACAACTCGCGCCACAGCATCGTATTACAAGCCTCTCCTTCTAATAGTATGTTTTGTCTCTTTTAAGTTCATTCAACCCATTCATATGCTTTGTGACCTTTACAAATGAACTTTACGTTACGATTTTATAGGTAAGGGTGTTCTAAACTTGTTTGTTTTGGAAAATTTAATAACTCTGTAAATATTGGTGTTTAAAGAATTTAAATGTTTAATACAACTTTAAAAAGTTATCCCCTATATGAGTGTTTATTTATTGTCGCGATGGTAACGACACGCTGTATAGTAAAATAAACATGATCAAACTCTGCCACATGTAAAGCGGTTACATTAAAGGTCTCTGTGTAATAGTTAATCAGTGAATTGAAACTTTATAGCCCGGATTGAACACTGTGAGTTGAATATTTTTCAGTACCTTTCATATTTTTTAGTGTCTGGGTATTTATATGTCTATAATATGTGTTTGTTTACAGAAGAAAATTATGTTTAAGTATGTTTATTAAGCATCTAGTACCACAAACTTTGGTTAGTTTCGGACTAGTTAGAGTTGTGTAGAAATATGTCCCGAAATATTTAATTAAACAGTAAAAGTTTAAACGCGGGGCATTCCGTTGTTGTAAATATCCCACTCCATCGGAGCTCCACAGAACCATAAACATACACGCCTTTGAACCGATTTCATCAGAAGTATCGATTTTGGCAGGAACTACAAACGTCGTCTTTTAGACAAAAGCGCTGACCACAACGCGAGAGTCGGGTCTGGTCACGTAGCGAAAGATTTGTCCGTCTGTAAAATTGTTGCCGTCGAAATTATCCCGTTTTAAAGATTCTACAAGGATTCAAAATATAAATTGGAAGATTGTTAAAATAAGATCGGTATTATACGCCACGCTGGTTCTTCTTTGGAAAGGTATGAAATTGAATTGAAGACTTCGAAGTAATACAAAAGGCTTTCTTTACTAAGTAAAAGTTAATTATACGTTCATGCCATTGGAATGAGTATATACGTATAGATAACGGTTTTGTAAAAAATATCACCTGTATTGGAACGAGAAAAAGCGTGATAATAAACTGGACATTATTATATAATTAGGGCAGTTGCTATTAACTATAATTATATTGATGGCCGCGTTGCGAGTAGTAAGTTAAATTGCCATTTTGGAAGAGTATCTAGATTATTCTACATAAAGATATGTCAGTTTCTTTTTATACAATTATCATCATTTATGTTATTTGAAAGACAAAACGAATGTTTCAATATTTGAACTTTGCCAATCCGTAGTGGGGACTCATGGTGGTCTACTAACAACTTCAGTACAGAGGAGGGCTTTAGCCACCAGTAGGATTTGTATAGTCTATTACTCTACTTTACTTTAGTTGTATAAAGTTAATAATTTAGATAATAAAACTGTACAATTATTTACGAACTAATATAATTTAATTAACCTAAGCTTATTTCAATAATTTCGGACGTCTAAATGATTGAAAATATAACGGAGTGAATTTGCAAAATTAATTCTCAGTACATCCACAAATCATACTTTGTATTTAAATAACTCCGCTCTTTGACTGAACCCTTGATAGGGCGGCTTGATCAAAGGATTCGGGGATTTGCAAAGGGCGAGTGTTGTTTCGTTTTGTGAATCATGCGGATGTTTGTATTCAGAGTTCACGGAGCTATCAAAGGGTTATTTAAAATGTTCGCGTTATTTTTGGGATTAAATTATTTTCAAAATTATTTACTTTAATGTTGGCATAATGAAGTGATTGCAAGGTTTATTAAACGGCTGTGTATTTTTTCGTTTCGTCACTCATAACGGGAGGGACGCATAAAGGGTTTTCCCCGACCCTGACAAGTACTTTTTACTTTTCAACCGAAATCAATAAATTATGTTCTCAATTATTCAAAAAAAGAAAATTAAAAAAAAAAAATGGACCTTGGATTCCAGAGGATGTATCTCAAAATTAATCTTCGCTTTGCACGTATGGACTGGTCATTCCGGGCAAGTAGAGAGAGTGGTGAGTGAGGTAGCTTGACTTTATTAAAAGATGGCAATGCATCCGCAACCCTACGAGTGTTGCAAATGTAATGGGCGGTGGTTATCGCTTAACATAAGGTTAAAGATCAGCTCGTTAATCTCACTTAAAAAAATTATTGTGTCACATGCAAACACTATACAGGGTGATTTTTTAGACGAAGTACATACTATGACATAATGTTAATTGAGCATTCCATAATTTAAAAAAATATATTTTATTTTGGCAAGAAGTAACCAGAAAAATATCAATTCAAACATTGTTTGTTTATCTCGTGAAGAGTGGTCACCCTATTGATAAGCGGTTTAGTAAATATGCGTTGAGCGAAAAGATTTAGTGCTCTTCAATCTTAAGGTGTCTAAAGGTTCTTAATAGTCTTTGAAAAAAAAAAAAATGAGGACACAAGTACGTACCAGATTCAGATTTAGAATCAAATACTGCATATGCCCTGTTAATATGTCCGTCGTCTATTCAATCATCCTGTATATTTTTCATACTTACAAAGTACAGTTAGGTCTATCTCGGCCTTCAGGGTGTTACTGATCATGACGTTCTTAGCCTCGCAAGTGTACCGGGCCTTGTTATCGGACGCGTCCGCTTTGAACGAGAGGACGTTCTCCGACATCCTGCCGCTGGTTCTGTAACAAAATGGTAATTTTTTTTAATACCGGCGCTTGGCGGCTCGATGGCGTCGTTGCTAAGGCACTGGCTCAAGCGGCGGGGGTTGCGGGTTCGATTACCACAATAATTCACTACATCCTTCCGCTTGTTCTGTGACAAAATGGTATTTTTTGTTAGTACCAGTACCGGTGCTTAGCGGCTTGATGGCGCCGTTGCTAAGGTACTGGCTCAAGCGGCGGGGGTCGTGGGTTCGATTACCACAATAATTCACTACAGCCTTCCACTGGTTCTGTAACAGAATGGTAATTTATCTTAGCACCGGGGCTTTGGCTGTTGGCTTAAGCGGTGGGGGTCGCGGGTTCGATTACCACACGGGACGAGTGTTTGCGTGACCTAAAAATAATTGTTCCGGATAATAGTAACGCTTCCCAAGGAGGAATGAAATCAGTCAGGCGGCCGGTCGTAAAAGACATTGCCAAAAACCCCTTAGAACATCATTTACTTATATATGTTCTTTCACAAGGGCAGGAGGATAATGGTGACAATGATCATGTTTCAGTACCGGGGCCTACTGTATCACTTAACTAGTGTCTTCTTGTCTACTGCCGCGTGGGTTCAATCGAAACAGAGGAAAGCTCTATAACGTAATTAAGAAGCCATTTCCGATATGCGTTTTGTCTTAATCCATTTCGTGGCAATTATAATGAATGAAGACTGAAGACAGATTAACACTACATCCAAAATTATAAAAAAACGAGAGGAAGATTTACTGTCCTATCTAACGTCTCGTTCTATGAAAACATTATAGCGATCGAACAGTAGTGCTAAGATGGCGGGCCAAGTGAAATTTTAGGTAATATCGTTAACGGAATCTTTTAATACGAATTTTATTTGAACGACTTCGCAATTAGGTTCTTGTATCTCATTGTATCTCATTGACACAATTCTTACGTATTTTGTGTATATGAACGGTGGTAGATTAAAATAAATATATATATACATATATATATGACTATTGATAGATGAAATGTAAGTTTCTTATATCGATGAATAAATGATTTTGATTTTGAAGGTATGGGATTGTATCGTTATTACAAATGTACGATTATTCAGTATACATGATATTATTTTTAACGTTTAATACAATAACAGCTAAGTATTTACAAAGCATTAAAAAATGAAAATGGACATTTCAATTTTAAAAGAAAATACTTTATGATATCCTGACTAGTATCATAAAAGTATATAGTATAAAGTATCATAATCCTAGTATCATAAAGATAAATTTTTAAATTATACGATCAAATGCATTGACCGGCCCTGTTGCCTTTTGATTCAGTTGATACTTGATATGCATATTATATATAGATTATCTTAAGAGATTGATCCCAACGCAGCGGTCTAATAAACAAATAATATAAGATTTTAAGGCACTGGAAAATTATCAAAATCTTGACATTGTAATCTTTTACTTCTCGTAAAAAATCGATTTAAATTTATTTTTCTTTTGAACAAACTATTATAATTATGAGAGTCGAGATATGACATAAATTTGTTATTATTGCACTGTCAGTTCTTTACTTAACCATACGTAACGTTTATTTTTGGTTTAATTTGAGGCTAGTCACTTTTGGAACGCAAAAATTAATATGTTGCATATTTATATTTCAGCTACAAATATAATCAGTGAAAATTCTTTTTACAGTGCAGGAAATATTATTTTTTCACGTCCTAGCCCTAAAGTAAGCGAAGATTGTTCTTTGGATATCAAGTAAGTGATAATTATACTTAAATATACTACATATTATACAAATATAAACCAGACACTAGAAAAAGACTATGTTCATCACACCATCCATGTCAGTAATCCAGTCGTCAAAATAATAAATCCCTATATAATATTAGTAGCTAAAATCTGCTACAGTCTTAATATTCAAAAAAACTATTACTAAGGCGGCAATGAACTGAGGCGTACAACCCTCACCTCGATATTCCGGGGCTTAATAGTTTAATATTGAATCGAAGACCTCTTTTTAATGGCGAACCTTCACGGTAGAACGCTCCCGGGGCATATTCCTAATTCCGCCGGGCACGCTCCGTTGGTTTTCTCACGGAATTGTGTGGACGAAAACTCGGAGGAACGCCCCGAGACACAAATGTTACACACTTAATACACTTCGCCGATTTCGGCTGACCGTTTGGTGAGTTGCGGTGATAGATTTATACGACGTGTGGTACGGACCGATTGGCGCTTATTAGGTCGTGGTTTCGATTCCAACGAGTCGAGTTATCACCGTTAGATTTAATGGATAAATGTTTGAATCTACCGTTAGAATTAGCTTTTTGTATTTAATACTAGCCATGCCCGCGACTTCGGCCGCGTGGAATTTAAAATAAAAAAAATCTAAAATAAAAGTAGCCTAAGTTACTCCTTATTATATCAGCTGTCTGCCAGTGAAAGTCCCGTCCAAATCGGTCCAGCCGTTTCAGAGATTAGCCGGAACAAACAGACAGACAGACAGACAAAAATTTTTAAAATTGTTATTTTGATATATGTACCGTGTTTACATCCATATTTAGTAAAAAGCGGTTATTTTAATATTACAAACAGACACTCCAATTTTTTTTACATGTAAGTAATCTGCGTAAAGTTCTGAGTGTGAAATAGAGCCACGTATAAAAAAGATATTTCTGTCTTATTTGTAAGTGACATCCAAAGTTTTATCTAACACTTCAATTGTGTTTCAAATATTGTTTAGTTGCGGACTCGGGCCCTGTGGGTAAATGATTTAATTCTCACTCAGCAAAAGCATTTGTGTGACCTACAGATTCCTGATCTGAATGCTTGTGCTATTTCAAAAAGGCTTTGTGTTTAGCGAATAATTACACTACATATAAATAAAAAGTTAAAGTAGAACTTTGTACAGATACCTCCCAATGTTCTTTTATATCCTTTTTTAATTATTCATCCAGGATGCCATATTTCATTTATGTAACTATTCTCACCACTCTCCTTTCTTTCGCAGTAATGCATTAAGTCTGTCCCGCGCGATTATTTCGAATTGAAACTGCATAAACGCTATGCAGCGCGAACAGCGCTTTACAGCGCACGCACTCCAATTTCTCATCTGAGAACCGCTTAACCCGTTCGCCTTTTATGTACTTTTTAAAAACTCCCCAAGTGCCGGCACGCGTCTGTCGTTATTTAAAGCGGCTGCTGCCAATCCTCTTACGCGGGAGCCGTTTGCGAATTAAGCTTAATGCAGTCTGGCAAATGGATGGCACTCGCGCATTAGCCAGTAAACTAAAATGATGTAGCAACCTGTATGTGTCCCACTATTGGGCAAAGGCCTCCTCTGTACAGAGGCTATAAGGGCATAGTCTCACGACGTCACTGCGGATTGGCAGACTTCACATATCTTCGAAATATCATTGTTGTGATTATCTCGATAATTTGCAGGTTTCCTCACGGTGTTTTTTATCACCGCTGAGCAAGTGCTCTTTACAGAGGAGGCCTTTGCCCAGCAGCGACATGTATAGAATGTTACTTTACTTTTTTTTATGTAAGCTTAAAGAATAGCTTACTAATGTAAACTTTGAAGGTAATGGCGCTATCTTAATCAATTAAATAAATAATAATAAAACCCTACGAAATCTTTTTACTTCTTTACACTCTCACTCTATTTTCCGTCTTACAAACACACGATGTAACAAGAAAAAAATAAGTAGTACAAGTAACAAGCACTAAGAACGCTTCTAAGCCCCAAAACGTGCCAGGTACAAACTTATTCAGTACACCTATTGAGACCGTGGTGTTAGCCAGGGAGCAATATAACAAAACGATATATAATATACTCAAACTTTACAGACACATAGTGCCCTATTAGATAGCCGTTTGTATCGGAAATGGGGCCCATGCAAATCCGTTTCATCGCGGAACGTATTTATTGATGCGTCGCCGTCATTAGTATTCGCAACGCATAGATTTCGTCAAAGCGTTTGTTGATTAATTGCTTCGGCGATTCGAGGCGGGGCATTAGCGGATGAATAATTCTCGTGGAACTCGCTACGCTCGCTCGTTGCTAGTATTCAGCTCGTATTGTGGAGTTATTGTTGAGTTTGGTATAGATAAGTCGCTACGTCTGATTGCGTATATTTTAGTGAACTTCATTGTCTTTTCTACGGAATTTTGTTGTGGCAGGGCGACACATAAGCTCAGCTTGTGGTACGAATAGGCAGGCTTAAAGATCAGCGTTTGCTACAAGTGATTTTGCCTTTGCAGGGCCGCGCAGTAGCTTCTGTCGTCGCCCCAATTGGCAGGCTTGTCTGGAAGAACAACGTCTTTCCTTAAGACTGGCATGAAGTAGAAGTGTTTATTATACATACGCTTTTTGTCTGACGCGTGAAGTAAGCAGGGCTGACTTTTTTAAATTTTGACAATGCAACCCCAAAATGTAAATCGACTGACTTCTGTTACACAAATAATTGAAGGAAAAATTCAGAAGCAAGCAAAACAAAATTCTTCACCTTAAACACATGATTGTCATATATCTCGTGCATTTTTGTACAAGTATATGAATGTCGTTTGTGGAATAACTGTCCTGTGAAATTTAACACTTTTAGGCGCATATTGGTTCTACTAACGTTTGAACTGTATCTTGTATCGGTGAATAATTGTTAGTGTTTAATGAAAAAGTGCATAACGTATCCAGTGAACCTTTTCACTACATAGTATAAAACAAAGTCGTCCCGCTGTCTGTCTATCCATATGTATGCTTAGATCTTTAAAACTACACAACGGATAACGGTGCGGGTTTTTTTTTACTAGATAGAGTGATTCAAGAGGAAGGTTTATATATATATATAATAAATTGCACCCGTGCGAAGCCGGGGTGTGTCGCTAGTAAGTTATAAATGAATAATTAACCGAGCAGTTTATGGACGCTTTATCTTACAAGTGAATCACTCCAAAGACTCGATTTCCCACGATGGGCTAAATGCGGTTCAACTGGCGTTA